GTGTGTGTGTGTGTGTGTGTGTGTGTGTGTGTGTGTGTGTGTGTGTGTGTGTGTGTTCCACTCATGAGTAACTTGTATGTAACGTGTGAACTTACATATAACTTACCTTTAGCACATGTGAAACTTATGTGTAAATTATGAGCGTGTGTGTAATTTGCAGGGGGGTTTATGACCCCCCACATTCATTTGATCCAGTCAGTGTAATCCCCCAATAAAATGACATAATTTGTTCTAACACAATAGAAATGAACTGGTTAAGTACACAGCTGCACAGCTGTAGGTATGTTGTGTAATACACATTAAAAATGTAAAATATTTGTTAGTGTTGGGGGGAGGGGTAAATCTTTTTTTAATTGCTGGACTGACTGATTAAGGATACATATTCATTCAAGTCATTAAGAGACTTTTAATTGATATTTTATCCTCTTCAGTGTGTTGGACTAAATGTTTATGTCAGCATCAGTTGTCTAAAACATTTTATCTTGTCGTTCAGCTTTGAAATCCTTTACAACAGTTGTGTGATGGTAAATGTTGTCCATGTGCTTTAGAAATGTGTTCATGTGGGTTTGATTATTGTGCTGTTGTTACGCAAAATATTTCCTTTTTTATTTAGCTGATTGGTTTTTGTTTCTGCTATTTCACATTTCATCGTGCACTCATCTAAAGTAAAACTTTCATTTGAGTTTTGGATTTTAGTTTAGTGGTAATGCAGTGCATGTGTTCTGTTAGCTTTTATAAATCAGATTATTTCAAGGTCATTGAGGAGCGTTTGTGCTCAGAGTAGCTGTAGTGCAGKAAGATGAAGAAATGATAGAAGGTGGTTTCTAAGTAACTGCAAAGCATATATTTAATTGTGTAAATGTTTTTATTAAGTTGTATGTGTTTGGTGAATGAATGTTAGCTTAGCATATGGAGCAGAAACAGCTCTAAAAAGGCTCATTGTTTATTTCTATCTTAGTATATGTCACATTGTGCTATATAAAGGCAAATATAATATTATTTAACACCTCATTAATCAGTGTAATACATTATTATAAAAGCATGACAAAATAAAACCTCATAATTAGGGGGACTTACTTTGTCGTGTGTCAAACCGTTATATTTGATAAAGATCTGTTGAACAGCAGGATGTGGAGAACTGCACAAAATTCTGCATTTTAGGTTCCTGAAATTTAACTTCAAAGCCAAATGTAACATTTTGTGTAAGTCGAYGAGTTTCAAATATTTGTCCAAACGTACCGTTTCTTAGCTCGATGCTATCTGCCTGCTAGTTTCTGTCTGTATGCTAAGCTAACTGGCTCCATATTTTCTGCACCGAGGTGAGAGCAGGAACATTTGAATGTTTTATTTTTTCAAGCTAAAATAAGTTTAAACTTTTAGCTGTTTGTATCATATATTTTACTGAACGCTGTGTGTGTGATGTCTGCAGTAAAATGAAGCTCAAATTTAAAATCTGAATTCTGACATTAATCAGCC